GATTCGGCTGCCAAACTTGTGCACCAGCATGACTGATCTGTCCAAAATGGTTTTGTTGCACTGTTGGGGCACCGCCAAACTGGGGTGCATTCTGGCTACGATTGCTGAAATCGAAGGGCTGAATCGTCTGGCCCTGGACACCACCACCTATTCCGTGCAACAAGCCACTAGCCGGACCAAAACTATCTTCCTTATGATCTGGTACTGTTGCCATGGCATGCTGCGGATCTGCAGCTACCTTTTCCAAGACACGCTGAAGGGCATCCATGAGAACTTCATCTTGTTCAGCAGCTATCGTGATGATCCGTTCCTGGCTTACTTTAGCCTCTTGGCTACCAGCTTTGGGATAGACCTGGATATTTGCCCCAGTTTGTTCACGAATTTCCTTGATACGCGCACCACTCTTACCGATCACCATTCCGGCCGAAGTATTTGGCACCACGAGTTTCATCTGAATTTTTGATGACTTTTTTGAACCCAATACAGTCTCGGACACACCTGCAGAGTTTTGCACAGTCCAGATGAGGTTCTACGTCCAGAAAGTCCAAATATTTTGTGGTAGGGAATCAAGCAATTTGTGATGGTAAAAATGAGTTAAGTAAACAAAACAAAGGTGAGTAAATCTCTAAATGTTCAAGAATATCTACGTGCCCCATCAGGAACATGCAAAACAAATTTATCTACTACCTAACCGTCAACAGGCACATAAATTTTTGAAGGGAAAAGATTCTGAGATTAAGAAAAGATCCGAATTCGTCTCTTCAGATAAGCATAATCGAAAGGTTTTGTGTGAAAGAGAATAGACTCTGACCACGAGAGGTAAGCTTTTCTGGAACAATCTGTAAACCAAACTGATTAGACGGGTAATAAAAGATAATGAAACTTCCGGAATTGAATATTGCTGGAATATGTACTGAGAGCAAGATGACTGACTTTCTACAGCAAAATGATTATGAATTTCCAAAAAATACTATTTGAATGAATATGTTTTTTGGAAATGAAGAGATGAACAACTATAAAATTCTAAAAACAGTGGGAAATTGAATTCGAAGATAACTGGAATTTATCGAAACTGAAATTTCAAATTTTCAAAAACAAACGTAATTCATGAAAGATGATAATCTGGACGATTTTTTTAATTGGACTGTAGTGAAAATGAAATAAAGCAATGTCAGGGCATTTTGATATTCGAAATTCTCGCTCACCTCATTTTTGCGTTCCATTCCTTTATGGTCGAAAATATCTGATGGGGTATTGTTGTCCACTTTTTCACGAATCTTCTCCAAAATAACATCGGAGACCTTTAAAACAGATGCGATCTTTCCTTTTACCAGGCAAATCCTTTCATTAGTTCCTGAAAACTTAACCCAGTTATTTTCTGATAGAATGAAATGATCACAACCGTCTGCAGAATTATATCATTACTACAGATATTTCCTAAACAATATCAAGTTATCTGAACGGACATATAAGTGGATAATGAATCATTTTCAGAATGCCCATCAGCAGTTAAGTCCGTGCAATTTAGTGAGGAAATATAGTGAATGAGTTTTTCTAGACCTAGGTAAAATATTACTTAACTATTCTACACAAACATAGAACAAACAAAAAAATAAATGAGCAATCGTCGTTCTGAAAGCAGATTCATTTTCCATCTCAATAGCATTTTATGAAGCATTAAAGACAAACCTGGATATACTTCCTGATTTTTACTCATTTGCAAACGGCAGCCAGATTCGCTTTTTAAATTGCGCATTGTTTCTCCACCTTTGCCAATTAGAGCACCAACAGCTGCTGAGGGAATTAGTACCTTTACTTGGACCATATTGTCTGGAAAACAAACACCCGGATCTTCCTGACTTCATACTAGTGAATGTCACATCTAACAGAATTTTTTCAAACATTTCCGAAACCCAAAAAATACGGAAAATTTGTAAAAAAAATATTCGCAATATTCGCATTATAACTTTCTCATTTCGTATCCCATTTCATAATATTTGCCACACTTTTTTCACAAAATACTTCTTAAAATTATTTCGGAAAGTTCGCGAAATTACCCTCTGTGTCTGAAACATGAGCTTTCTTCACTGCTGGCCCGCCACGTTCATCACGCGTACGCTTTTGTCCCGCCGAAATAGTCCCTTGCATAGTAGCCGGATTGCCTTCTATAACAATATCAGATAAAAAAGGCTGCGAAAATCAATGATTGTACAATGTTGTTTGGCTTTCATAACTTGCACTTTTCACAGAGCTACTTTATTTGTTGAACATTTTACTTATTGATCGCTAAAGATGCAAAACAAACAAACAAAATTAGAAATATAGAGCAAACTACATATAACTTTTATGAACTATACGTCCATTTCATGTTGAATCATAGTTTGTGATGAGTTGTCTTATAATGTCCGCGGTATCGAAAATTCAAATACAAGGCTTAGAAAGCTTCTGCTTTCTAAGAAGGAAGAAAAACTCAGTTATTCAGATTTAAAGAGAAAAAAATTAAAGGTACATCCATGTCATATCGGAAAATCATGGGTTGTTATGCAAAACACTAATATGACAACACGACTTCATCCCTACAGTGGCAACTGCAATTTGACACTGAGAATTTTTTCATTGCTGAGTACTTAATTACTTCCATTTTTACTCAGACTTAAAATTTGAAACAATTTCTAATTTTTACCATTATCTTTGTTATCCTCCATTGTATCGCTAGCAATATCGTTAGCCATCAGCTTATAGCCAAACACCTTCAAAAAAGTATAATGTGAAAAAACACCTCAAGAACACCTTGTTCAGATGAATACATAATATTCATGGAGGAAAGCGTGAAACAAGTCACCAAAGTTATTATTATTAGAAATAAATAAGCAGCTTGTGAATCATTAAAAAAGCAGTGTAAGTTTCAGCATTCGCTAAAAGTTGATTCTGTTGCATATATATTCAAGCTTGCGCATAGAGCGCAGAACTAGGAACGAAATCAACAAATCGTGAAGCTACAAATATCTTCGTGAAGTTAGCAGAATGTGCATACCTACAGGTGATTTTATATTATGTAACAAGCAATTATTGTAAATAATTCCTACATATTTCAATTAGCTAGGAGTGAAAATCTAATTCTCGCATTGGGAAATACGCAATTTCCGAAGAGTTTTTTCCAGGATTCCAATGAAATCACAAGGAATATCATCACCATGATTATAGGATCTGATAGCCACTTCTGTGTAGAATACTTCAATGTCAATAATTTCAAGTAAGCATATCCCAAAGCAGAAATGCATTCAACAAATACGCCTTAACAATTAAGTTCGGTTGTTACCAATGATTCAAGCTATCCAACTTCAATCGAGAATAATAATAAGAGACAGGCCACTCCAAACATTCACCAAATCCCGACCTTCAACCTCCCCACAACTTTTGCCGTAAAAACAATCCCCGCAACAAGCCCAAAATATTTCAGGTAAAAAAAAAGCAGTGCGACCCCCACGCTGCACTGAGTATCCCTCATATATTTATCGATTCCTCATTGTCCATTTAACAATTGTCGTTGTGGTCCGTGAAAAAGTAGCGAAAGGATCAGTTTGACATACAATTCAACCCAATGGAAGTTATCTGCTGAAAGAATATGGCAACTGCTGCTAATGTTATTGGTGAACTAAGATCCGTTGTTTATTATCCGTTCATAGTATTATTACTGTAGCAACAAAATGGTATCGTCTTCCACAGTGTATCTCAGCATCATAGTAGGCAGTTTCCTTTTACTTCTATGCAATAGTACGCTTCATTTTTTCATATCATTATATTGTGTTATCATAAGTTTTGCAGTACCACTGAATAGATTATTCATTAGGAGTGAGTAGTACTGTGATTAACAAATTTTCGACGCAATGTCATTGTTTTGTCCTATAAAAAATTAATATAATTTTTTAAAATTAAGGCTGTTAGTCGTTGGTAAATATTGAATTAAATAGAATGATTGATTTGATGTAGAATTAATAAAGGAAAGCAACAAGGATAGTTCAATAATTTCTTTTGTTTGTTAACTTAAGAAATTGTTCTTATGTTACACATAAATAAAATATGCATGGTATTGCGATATTCATATAATTAGTTATTTAATTACTTTTTAAGTCATAAGTCATATTGCAAATATTGGAAATAATCTCTTCATTTCGTAATAAATTATTAATCTAAATAATCTGATGAAAATTAAATTATTGAAATTAGATAATCAATTAAAATTTTAGACATTGCAAATACTTTATTAATTACGTCATTAATAATTATGTCCGCAAAAATTAGTGAGCAATGATTTGCCGAGAAATTTTGAACTTGTTAGCATTTGTTTAACACTGATGATATTGTCATAATGGAATGATAGGAAATTTGCATCTGTTAAACAATTATATTTTTAGTTCAAAGGGAATACATCGAATAATTTAAGAAATAACATTTAAGTTTGAGGATGGAAAAATTTTGTAAAATTCTTATGAATGAGAAATGAAATGGCAAGTGAAAGTTATTCGTCAATAATTTCAAAATATTCTCTTTTCAATTGTAATTGAGAACAGAAATAAAATGAAATGATAGAATTTATTATATAGTTTATATTTATTTAAAACAAAATATTACTTTTTTTCTCTCTCTCTCTCTTTTTCTTTAATCTTTTGTGTATTTATATGTAATAAATATATTTGTTTTTTCAAATATTTTGAAGCTTTTTTTTGTGATATATTAGTGTGATACATCAATTTTTCTTTTTCATTTAAAATATTTATTATGGCATTATTGCATTGAACAAATTTTACGAATTAATTAATTTACAGCAAAGTTTCATAAATTAATCAATTTAGGACGAAATTTCACATAATAATATTATCAGTAATTAGTAAATATTATAGTTGATGATGATGTTGATGAATTGAGAGAGATGCCAATTAGTTTAGTTTCAAATTTTTAATTAAAACAGTTCAAAGACTTTAATTATTCCTTTGATTTCCTTAAATTTTATTAGCAGCCAAATTACGTCGTTTATCAATCTCTCCAATGATCCGTTTTATCTCTGTCATATATTCTTTCGCACATTCATCAATCACTTCTCTCTTGTTGCTACATTTTGTTGCACCCGACATACACATATAATATGCTAACTAAAAATCTCTTCAATGTTAATTATTTTAGAATTATCCGAATAGAAAGAAAAAAGAAATTGTAACATTGAAGATTGTAACAATTATTGATTGATATAATAATTATACAAACATTGAATTGGAAATTGTTTGCATGTAGAAACAAACTTCTAAATCATTTTCAAATTCTCTGCAATGGTTTTCAGCATACGTTCGCATTATGCATGCTGGAAAATTTATGCTGCAATAAATTTTGATGTTTTTCCATTTCGAAAAAATATTTTTAAAAGAATTGATGAATGATATTTTTTGATTTTTGATATTTATCAATTTTGATCATTAATCAATGCAACTGAAATTATACAGTATTATCAATGGATGATAATGTGTAATCTTTAATTAGCCATCAATTTGTTGCAATCTATTATTGAATAAAAATGAAACGTAACCTTTGAGCAATTAGCTCAATATTAGATAATAATAGCTATTACTGTAGCTACAGTATCAAATTGACATACTCGCAAATTCCTTTCTGAGGATCCCATGTCGTAATATTATAGCACTGCATTTGTATTTTATGGCACAAAATATGCTTCATCGCTCTACTGATCAACTGCTTCAGAACTACCGAAGTCCATCGCATTCCGGATTTAGTACAATCTTCTGGAAATCATTTCTATTTTATTTTATATGATTCAAAAATTAACTGAATAAAAATGCATTGAACACAAATACTAACCAATTACAAATGCAATTTTTTCCAGAAATTCACCATAACCCGGTTCATCGATGCAATTTGATGAAACTACTAATTCGGTCATACATTCAATTGAGAAATATCTAAATTAAAATCTAAAACTTAATGATAAAATTCATAACTTTAAACTATCTTTTAATACTAACTTGCACTAATGATTTACCTTTAAAATTTAATTAAAGTCCAATGCTTATAATAAAATAATAATATGGTATGGGATAGATTTATACTTATGAAACAAGATATAGCTTAGAAATAATGGTTAAAAGAAAGTTGGTTAAAATTTTTGAAATTTATTGCCGAAAAATAAAAAATTTAGTTCGTGCAGATGAATTCATAACTAATCGACGAAAAGCTTATGTTATGATATGCTCTTGTTGAATATGTTTTATCAAATTGAATAATTGGAAATTAATTATTTTGTAGGACATTTGTGTTAAAAGATATTAGAGATTTCAAAAAAAACAGAAATGAAAATTAACAAATTATACTGATAAATATTATGCAAAAAAATATCACTTTTATAAAATTAAGTGTTTTATCAAATAGCTTTTTTAAAACTTAAATAACAATAAACATTGTTTCAAATTAAATTATTTGAAATTTAATAATATTAAGAACAGAATATTTTGACAAAATAAATGATTATACTGAAATTTATTTCGTTTTTAAAATTTCAATTAAATTGACAAATATTTGTTCAAACAGTGATTTATTGTTATTTAATTTGAAAAATATAATTTGTGATAAAGCAATTAAAGTTAATCAATAATATTTTCAAAGTATTCATTTGACACTAATTCTATTACAGCAATTGAAAATTTTAAATTTTGTTGAAATTTCGAATCCTAAGAAAATTTCAATTTCATCTAATTTATTTATTATTAATGTTAGTTACGTTTTTTTTTTCAAATTATAAAATCTCGATTAAATGAAATGTGATATCGTTTTGATCGATTTACTATAAATAATCTTTTGAGATATATCTCCTAATAAACAATGATATTTGATATCATTTCATAACATTTATTGTAAAATTATCATAAATTTTTTCTCACTTAAAAAAAAGCATCAAAAAGAAAAGCAAAAGGTAATAACTCATAACTCTTCGCATAATCCAACAGGTGGAATAAATGGAATCATATTCCAATGTTTAGTGCAATTTACAATCGCTTCATGACAGTTGTCATCAACGATGTCTTAAAAAAAAAACAAATTTTTCTCCAGAAATGTAATTTTTCAATGTATTAAATTTAATTTTCGAATATATTAAATTATAATATTACATCCTGAAAAAGTTTCATTATTGTCACATAATCTTATGTTGAAAGGCAAATCTTTCAAATGATGTCAATCACAAACTTTTTCCGTTTTTTCACTTAACAATAATCAGTTGAATAAGATGAAAAGGATATTTCACTTATTTAATTAAAGTATAACAATTAATTAATTCATATTTGAAAAAAATGGAGTCTAATTTTTTTAAATTTGGATCCGAAATATCTTTTTTTTAATTTTTGCCCAGAACAATCGTTTTGAAAATTTCAATTTAAAACAATACTCATTCTAAAAGTTTCAACTTAGTTTTAAGTTGTGCTATTGAAAAAGAAGAATTTCAAGCATCATTTCAATTACTTCACTTTTCTATTCCTTAAATTTGAACTTTTAATATCAATCGTATTATATATAAAGTGTGAAATGTTGACTGTTTGTAATATTTAAAGGTGCAAAGAACATTTTCTTCTAGAAAACTTTGAAAAGCTGAATTCTTTTGTTGATCATAAATTAATAAAGTAAAAGAAACAATCAATCAAATTAATGATAATTAAAATGGATGGAAATATTCTTGAATTGAAGACTTTATGAATGTATTTTACCTTTAGTTATATTTTTATTAAAAATGGCATAATTTTATTAAAGAAAATCTTTTCATTTTCTTTTACAAATTGAGTGAAAAAAATTTGAAAATGATGAATATTTGGTAATCAAAATAAATGATCCATTTCAAATTGGTATTTAAAACCTACATTGATCGATATTTTGCTCAAAAAAATTCGCTCCATCTGTCATCTTCATACTGATAGCTAAGAATACCGCAATCAGCGATTGGCGATATATCAATGTTGTTGTGGTCATTTGTTCCCTACCAGTTCTTTTTTTTAATTTAGTTTTCCTTTTTCCCTGTTGAAACTTTCGTAGGAATAGTAATAAGAGTATCCTTTGTGAAAGAATATAATGAAAATAATTCGAATAAATTGTATATTGAGAATTTATAGTATTTTATAAAAGCAATTATGCAAATTACAGTCTTAATAAAATTTTTATGCGACTAAAATTGTTTTTTTGGGATTGCAAAAATGTTAATTTTAAGTTAATATTTTGTGAAGTTTCCAGGTTTCTCTTCTCACACACATATATTTTAGAAATAAATTGCTAGAAATTTTATGAATAAAAAAAAAATTCTATTTGACGGATATTACTGTTAGGATTACGAATTTCAAAATAATGGACTAAATAATATTAAATAAAATGTTAGTCTGAAATTTATTGCCATAATTAAATTCCTATTTAATTAAATAAAAATAAATCAATATCAAATGATATTTCTATCGTAGCACACGAATGTTGATGGACGTACCGAACATAGAAGTAATTTACATATTTCAGTTTAAAATATAATTCGAAAATTGATGATAATAATCAAATAGCATGATGACTTCTCGTACGTTCGACACGTCCGTCATGCATACGTCAATGACGTATTTATCCGTCAATGAATCTCGACTTATTTGTTATTTTTGTAATATGTTTTAAAATATATTAATATGCTTTGATTAATAAATTATCAGCAACAAGATTGTGTAATAATTTTAATATTTTAGAATTATTTCATACATTCTGAATGTGTAAAAAATGATTCAGAATATTTTTATTTATCATTCTAATGAAGTATTCATATCAATCAATCCAGTATCATTGATCAAATTTTATTAAAAACTTTTTCAATTCCTGCTATTAATGAATCAATATATTTCTCGTAGATGACCTGAGCTCCGTAAGTTTGTGGTAAATATAGGTATAATAAGAATATTACCTGAAAATAATATATTTCAAATATGAATTAAGAGATGTTTTTTTAGACAAAAAAATGCAACTTTGTAGTCTTTTTTATAAATATCGATTTAAGATATGAATGAATTGACACAGCAAAAGGCAATTTACTAAAATTTATTACAGGAATATTGAAATTAAATACTGCCTGTATTAAAAAAAGGGAGAAATATGATATTGGAAAGAAATGTAAGAAATATGTTTCACAGATATTAAATTTAATTTTCATTTCATGTTAGTTATTAATAGATAAAATAAAATATGGATTAAAATTGCCTTAATTAACCAATACAGAGGCACAACATGCATAATTGCTTCTGCAAAAAAATCGATCAGTGAATAAAATGCAAATACAGTCCAATAAATTAGCCAATGGGTGTCATCATCCTTTTGCTCAGTTCGAATTGCCTAAATTAGCCATGAAATTTTAAAAGTTTGAATACAAAAAAAAGGAATCAAATAGATGATTTATTCTAAAATTGCAGTATATCAAAAGTCTGAAAATTAATTGACTAACTAACAACAATTTAATATATTTTAAGTGTTACGTCGCTATCTACCAATTGTTAACTTTTATCACTTAGACCTAAAATAACTTTATTATTGTTCAGATTAATGAATTTAAATAACAATAAGTAAACAAATAAAACTATAGTATTTTCATTTCAATTTCCATTCTAATTAGCACAATAATTTATCCTTATTACCTGTAATCTCTTCCATAGGTATTTTTATCACTTACCTTAACTGAAGCATAAGCTGGATAACCAAAACCAATCAGATTACATAAAAGCTGCGCTAATGATCCAATAATAAGATAAATAGCAATAAGACCCATCAAGCCATATGCTAACTGTACAATTTCATTTTAGAGCAGAAAAAGAAAGAGGAATTTTTTGATTTTATAATTATTTAAATACTAATTATGTTAAATTATTTGTTCCGATTTCGAATATTTGTTTTGCTACAAAATAACAAAAATTATTTCTTTCTTTCTCTTTTATTTCTTTCATTTATTAAATTATTACAAATATTTCCGCTTCCATTACTATAAATTAATTCCGTTCTGTATATTAATGAGTTCTATTCCGTTTTGCTTCATTTTATTATTGAAATATTTCGGAATTGATTACTTGTTCACGTGGCAATTGAGTCTTTGCTTCAAAAAGTGACAGTACTTTATCCAGCTGCATATTATTCTTATCATAGAGGATATTTTTAAGTGCTGGTACTAAATCATTAAATGAATGTACTGTAGCTTTTTCAGCACCTTTTAGTCTCTCATTTTTGCCACCTCCACCTACACCGCCGCCGCCACTCACTGATGGTGGCTTTGTTGAACTCATCTGCATGACCTGGAAGTGAGAAAACTAATGCTTCAGATGTAAATGAATTACTTTCAAAGAAATATCAGCCGAAGAGATTTTCATATTTGTAATCGAAAAATCATTTGAATTTTATTGGAATGAATAATTTGATAATTACTCAGATTATCTTAATTGAAAGAAGCCGATCAAATTGTGCTCAAAAGAATATATCAGCGAGCGCTAAGTCGATGCACAACTGCACTTCACTAATTAGTAAACTGTTAATGATACTGCAAATAATTTTCAAACATTTATACCATGTGATTGAAGTGTAGAATTTTTTATGTAAATTATTTTCGGAAAACTGAAAATTACAACTTAACATATCTTTCAGTTGAATTAATCGATGAAAAAATAGTGTTGATTTCGATGAGATTTTTCGCGTTGATTTAATTTTGATCAATTAAAAGCAAGACTTTTTAATTTAAAAAATGGACAGAATGATTTTATTAGAAAGAAATCAAAAAATTTCCCTTTCGTTACAAAACATTTTCATACTTTGATAAATATTCAAATATAATTTGATGTTGATAAAGTAATTGTGGTAGTAGCAATAGTAGTAATTAAATATAAGTAATAATCAGTAATTGTTATTGTTATATACAACAATAAACTATTGTAAGCTTAAGTAAACTATTATAATTTATCTAAAAAAAATATCTAGCATATAGATCAGATGACAGTAGCAAAGAAAAAATAAGTTCACAGCAAATGTAAGTGAACAGTTACAGTAAATGCATGAGTTGATACTGTTAATTACAGTAGTAAGACAAAATATTTTAAACATTTTCTATGGTAAAACCAAATGATTCTACTCTGATATACAAAGCATTATCATTAATTAAATTTTCAATTAAATCTGCCAAAAGGCTGAGCTTATCAAGAGGTAGAATGGAAAAATATATAACCAAAGGTTAAGAAATATTACTGTCCATTAAATATTGGGAAGAGAAATAGAATTAATGTTATTACCGTATTGAAAAAATTACTGAGAATTTTGAGGGAAAAGATTTTGGTAAACCGATAAATGTTTAAATTTTATGCATAAATTGTTTTATTGAAAAATTTGATTTTTATGAAAAAAATCAAATTTAAATCAAAAAAACTATCGTTTGTTTTTTTGAGAACAAAAATTTCTAAAATTCTATTAGAGAAAATGTGAAAGAGAATGCGAAGAAATTGGTAAATAAATTATTTTCAAAAAAATTTCATAAGCCGAAGAAATTATCATTTTATTTTCGTTTCTTTAAACCACTTGATGTAACCAAATAGCATAAATTACCGGCACCGCATGCGTAACCTATCGGACATTGATTATTGATGCAAGGACCTGAAAATAAGAAATAAGTTTTGAGAAATAGCTGAAATTTTATTTCATGTCACTTTGAATAAGCCAAATGATAATTTGAAAATGTCATGTGAAAAAAGTTTCCTGATGGTCAGCCTTTATGGTAATTATTTTAAGTTCACTATCACAAAAGGAAATATTTGTGTAAAATAGTAAAGTTTATTTATGAGGAAAAAGAATAAAACGTTTTAAATAGTACCAAGTACGGAACCGGAACCAAGTGGACAGCAATAATTGTTGGTATTGCATGAGTAGCCAACCGGACATAAATTATTAACGCATGGACCTAGAAATAAGTGTTGTTTTCTTTGATTTCAAAATTATTTTTTTGGAAGATGACAAAATTCAGTAAAGAAAAGTTAGGGAAATGAATTCATTAATTCAAATTCGGCTATCACTTTTATATTAGCGATTAATATCACTGTATAATAGCAATTCTTTTTCTTGCCTCTTTTTCATTAGTTCACTTCTTATCGTCTAAAATTATTCCTCTAATAAAAATTCCTTTAATTTTAATGATTTTTCTTGCATTTATTAATTAACAAATCTTAAAAGTAAGTACCAATCATTTTATTCTATTAGGATAATTTCAATATTTGATTTTCTTAAGGCTATTGTATTAAATTTATTATTTAAATTTATTCTTTATCTATTCATTGCTTCCAGTAATTGATTGCTCGAAAATTTTGTTTAATTCAATTAATTGAATTAATCAGTTCTATTTAAATAATTTTATTCTCTGAATTAAAATGTAATATTTTATCTGATATCTCATCCTCACTCTTTTGTTGTTGTTTTTCATTTGAAAATATATTATCTTTTTACGAGTTATTTAATACCGGTAGAATTGCCACTAGCACATCGACAACAGAAACCCCGGCTGTTGCAGAAGAAACCTTGTCCACAGAGTCCATTGATACAAGCGGCTACCGCTGGTCCACCATCGCATGCTGCTGCAAATACTACAATTTTTTCCCTCATTCTCTCCTCACAATTCCATCTATTGATTGAGGTAGAAATTGTTATTACAAATTTGTGTAAATTAAATAAATAAAATTGACCGATTAATTAAGTTAAAGAAATTAATTTAGTAAACGAATTACAAATGGATCAAGTTATCATAAATTATAAATTGTTACTATGAAGTGATATGAAGTAAATGAAAAATAAATAATAAATTATTTATGAAAATATTGTTACTATTATAATTGCTTTAATTGGATAAATAAAATTGATAAAGGGATTAGTAAACAATGAATTATATATATTACAATGCATTATAAATTATTGCTCTAAAATATCAGCCGTTCATTTATTTTTAACATGAAAAATCACATTGCTACTACTTTAATAAGAAGCACTGCGCAAAATCCGGAAGATGAGAAAGTTACAACTTGAACAAGGAAATGGAAGATTAATAGGTTAAAGTAAGTACAAATTTTCCTTTTTATAAATTTCATTGAAAACATAAAATTAAATTGAAATATCAATTTAGACTAAACTCACTTGAAAGACTGAAAATATTTGGTTGACTTGGTGGTCCGATGGGTAATGGGAACGGGAAAATATTAATGCTGCCGGGATTAATGGGCGGATGAACATGACTTGGGGCGGTAGATGGACAGCAGCATGCATGAATGCACATCATTCGTGGCGCAACTTGCCGACATTGAGAGCTTGTGTAACAACTCGGGAAACATCCCGCTGGACAATTTTGAGTATATTGTCGCTTAGATCGATTTGAAACTGAAAATGAAATTTAACATGCTACATTAAAATAAAATTTAACAATAAAACTTAGTCAACTATAGAAATATGTTCTTAGCTTTCAAATGCCATAAACTTATATTTACTAAGATTATGCAATGGTAAGGTTTAACAAAAACAACGGACAACCCCAAACATTTCAACTGTGGAAGATTAGTTGCAAAGTGATTATAAAAAATTCAATTTATTGAATTAGGCTATAGATAAATTGAATCTCTTAGTCCCAGAAATCAATATTAATATGAAATTTTTTACAGTCATTTCTCATTGCAATCTTATTTTGGCAATTAGTGTTGAATGCATTGTTTTATTTATATTGCAGTAAATTATCTAACTGAAATAAAGAAAAAAGAAAATAAGAAATTATTTAATTTACATGAAATATTTCCATTTGTATTGGTATTCTGTTCATTTATCATTGCTTCATTTGTAATAGTTTCAGTTGAAATATTCGTTATCATTAGGAGAAGCATTGAAATATAAAATAAGATCACCAAATTTGCTCCAATTTGATACATTTCTGTTCCTGTTCGACTTAAAAAATTCATTCAAAAAGATAAATCAATATTTTTTTGCTAAAAATTTAAGTAGATGATAAAAGCTAATTACGAAAGAATTTAATAGATAGTCATTTATTCTTCATTTGTTGCAATTATTATTTTTAAAACAAGTTGTTACTAAATCAAACTTCATTTCAACAAATTTCACTATCTATTATTATTTCATAACGATATCGCACAACGTTCAATTTTTGAGTACGAATTTTCCTGCTAAACAAAATTTACTGAAGATAAGTTCATTGTAGGGAAATACGTGACTATAACAGTATACTGTAGGATACTGTAGCTGAATAATAGTTGAATAAATTTTTTGAATAAATAGTTAATAGAAAAGTTATTTTATCTTATGATATTTAAAAAAAATTTTTTTAATTGCTATTGCATTATAAAATATTTCTTTGTATTGCCAATTATTTTAATTGAATTGTTATTACCGTATTATAAAGCATTCATCATTATCTTTCTTTTTCCCTCTTTTTATATA